CCGCACCCCCCCCCCCCCCCCCCCGAAGCAGCTCTTCCCATCAGTGGTCCTCTCTGTGGCTGCCTTCGTACCCAGCTGTTGACCAAACTCCTCTTTGGGAGTTCTCCAGTCACTTTTACAATCCCTTTGGCCTTCTGGGTCATCTTATTTCCTTCTAGATTCCAGTGATACTGTACAAAGCCTGTTCTTAAGGGTGTGAGCCCATAATCCTTCAGCGTAGAGATAATCAAAACGACAAGCCTGACCTTTCTGCTTGCAGGTTCGGATGAAATCCATGTTTGCCATTGGCTTCTGCTTCACTGCCTTGATGGGAATGTTTAACTCCATGTAAGTATCAACTTTCTGGATTTTTCTGAAATTTTCATGGTGAATATATTCTCCACCTTCCGTCTATAACCTGAAGCATTACAGTGACAGAGTCCCTCCAAGAACCATAACTGATCTGTATAAAATGGATCAATATTTTATATGAAGATGTGGTTGTTTGGTTACCGTGCGCATGTTCTGCTCAACAGGGAACACTGCATGTTGAATGCAGTCAAATTGAACAAATTGCATTCAATCTAGACACAACTCTGACATCCTTTCTGCTTGGGAACATCTTGATTAGGGCAAGTTTGGTAGATGTCAGGCAAGCAGCTACAGTCTTCAGCTTCTTTGGCTGTGCTATAATAGTATGACCAAAGAATGCTCTCAGAAGCAAAACTGGGTCGGCTCCCTTGCCCTTAGAAATGAGCTATAATTGCAGAGTTTGTTGTTGCTCTACTTAAGGTGATCAGAGTCAAGGCACTAACAGGTCCAGGCATGGGCTGTAATCTTCATTTGCTTTAAAAATGACCTGGGATAGGTCTAGTTTTAAAAAAACAAAGACAAAAAAATCCGAAACTGGTTTGCATGGTTATAGACAGCTTTGTTTCAGACATGCAAAACTGAAAGACTTTGCTTGACTTTTAAAACTTGATTCAGTCTTGAAATGTGAACTTCCCATTGGCTGTTAAATCTGAAGATGATGTGAATATGGTTAGTATAACCTTTGGGAGGCTACTTAAAATCTGGGCAGTATACTTGTCCTGCAAACAGGAATTTACGTTCTTGGGCACCAAAACCTTTGGCCTCTGTGCTGGCAGTCCCCAGGATACAGTCAATTGTTATTTTACTGCAGATCTGTGGGTGGGTAAATTGCAAACAGGGGGCAACATAATAACAGAAGTGCCACTGTGTGGACTCTTTATTTATTCAGCTTAGTCAGACTTCAGCATCTAGCATTCTCTGGAATGCTGTGAAACTGAGCAGAGGAAACAGTGCTAAAGGACTTTAAAATTTGGGTACGATCTTGAGTCATTGATGTCTCATTTCAGTGCAGCCCTGAGCAGGATGGAGGTGCGTTGTGAGTCACGTGCCCAGCAACATAGCGTCTGTGGGGGATTTACAGTGCTGCACCTGAGGCCTTCAAGTGCTTGCCTAGCTATTTGGATGCAATACAAACACCACCACCACCTCTGCCCCTGAAAGAAACTGAAAAACAAACTAAAAGAACCCACCCTACTCTGCCCACTTTCCTAGAGTGGGAAGAGGCTGTTCAGAGTATGCTACGACTGACAAGTGTTACAGGACTGTAAGTTCATTAAGAGCTTTATGAAGGAATTGATCTTGGTTAAATCCTGTGTGACTCCTCCTTCCATAGATATTAATCTGAAAAATCAGTTTATTGGTTTCCTCCCCTTTAAGACCACCAAGTTTGTCTTGTTCCTCTGTTGAGGATTCCTGCCCACAGAGGCCATGCTATTAGACACAGAGTTGACATGAAGCTTTTGGGCATATCTTTCATTTAACTGACTCCTTTCTTTAGAGGGAACCTGAACATGAACAGCAGGAGTATCCAGAGAACTCACTGATTGTTTGAATTGAAATAGCTTTCTTGCTAATAGCCAAGGCTATTGAATTAAAATCCAAAGATTTTGCTGTCTGGCCTTTGGGGCTAGATAGTTAAATTTTTGCTCCTGGTCTCAGTACAAGCTACCTAGTGCATTTGTATCTGAATTGCAGCTTTGGTGGGTTGTATCTGCACTGTTTGAAGCTGATAGAATGGTTTGATGGAACTGGTTCTCACATATTGTCATTCTCTTGATGTATCATAAAGAGCAGCTGCTTGTCTCAGGAGGAGAGTACTCCAGTTAGGAATTTAGGAGGCTCTTAGGCTCCCTCTGGGAAGCTGCTACTGTCAGGTCATCCATGGAGGCTTTGTAGGTGTGGTAGGAAAAGGAGGAAAAGGGTGGCTGACACCTGCAATGGCTGTAGCCTCATTTGCTTGCCTTTCCTGTTCTTGAATGAGTTCATTGCTCTGGGGGACAAAAGGAGCAGGAATTGCATGGAAGTAGCATGATGTGCTGCCCTTTGGACAAGTACTGTGCAGACGCTGCTACTCTGTGGCTGGACACCTCACCTTTGCCAAGTGTCAGCTTAGCCAAAATGGAAATTACTGTGATGACTGGCTCTCTTTCTTAGAGTGTCAGTAGTAATGGGACAGCAGGGTGGACCATGCTGGAGGGATATGTAAGTGTCAAGAAGGCTGGTTTAAACCCAAAGAGCAGAATGCTGTGCTGAGGGTGACCAGCTGAGTGACTGTTGTGGTTTAAAAGTTATGCTAGGGCAGCAAGATCTGTAGCGGTGGTGGCCTCTAAGCAGATGGGATTTGTCCCAGGAAAGAAATCAGCTTCTGTATGTCTCAATTTTCTTGTCAGAAACTTTTTAATGCAGTCAGTTCTCAGTCTCACTCCGAGTTGTGCATTTCAGTATCCCTTCACGATGACTGTGAAAACCTGCTGGAATTAAAAGCAGGTACCTTGGGATGCTACTGCTGAAGTACTTGTCATTCTCACAGCAGGAATAACGCAGAATTTTAAGCCACTGGGGGATGTTACAGGGAGATAAACATCCGTTCCTAGCTCTTTTGCCAAACTGCCTGTGAGATGTAAACAAAGTTGGTGTGTGTTTGAGCTGTAACTGTGTGAATGCATCTCCACAGGAAAGAACGCTCATTTAGGATCTCTTGAAACAAGAAACACCTGTTAGAAAATCAGCGCATGTAGAGAAAATAACATCCAAATATGCACATGCTGATGAGGCATCATACACACTTACTTCAAAAGATTGGGTTGACTGTCTGGGTTGAGAGAAATCTTTGCAAACTGGCCAGAATTCACACTCTGCTTGATGCCCTGGAATGTGGACCTGGAGGAGTTCCAGGAGCAGGACAGCCTGCTTGGAAAACATGGTATCATCCTGCATCTGCACTACCTTTGTCTTCAGAGCTAATGCAGAGAAGACTATTGATATTAAAAACCATTCTGTTGATGGCTCTTATGCATCCTTCTTTTGCTGAGAAGTATAGCTGCTCTAGGAAGGGAAAAGGTGTCTTTCGTTTATGCTCTGCTTAAAAAATGCTCTTCTGCTTAAAGCAGAGAGTCCATCTTGGACAATATGGCAGGGTGATAGTCATCCATCTTTTATTCAAGTGTTGACTGTGTTCTGGGAAGTGATCTGCTAAATTTGACTTTTAAATAAAATGCACCACTACACTGCAAAACACCAACCAAGGTTTCACAAACCAACAGCTTGTCCAGCTGATCACTTAAATCACTATGAAACACTTTGTCTCTGTGGCAAAATTGTTACTGAGGGAAGCCTACTTACCCTGTAGATGACTGAGTGTGGAGGGCTTTGTGAGAGAGGTGTATTTAGCCTCCTTGGTGTAGTGTATGTAGAGGTGGGCTGGAGAAGGCAGCTTGGCTTTCTGGCCTTCCACGTAGTCTTATCTGCTCTGGTGGCCTGTTGAAGATGCTCACTTGTTCTTTCTATAGTCAAAGACTCTTTTACTGTCCCCAGTTGTGATCCAGTGCTCTCTTTTCCAGATTTGATGGCCGAGTGGTCGCAAAGCTTCCATTTATCCCCCTCTCGTACATCCAAGGTCTCTCCCACCGCAACCTTCTGGGTGAGGATTATACTGACTGCTCCTTCATCTTCCTCTACATTCTCTGCACGATGTCTATCAGACAGGTGAGTACATTGCTGTGTCTCTTGCATGCCTGGAGCAGGGAAAGCACATCTCTCTACATAGAGGAATCTATTACTGCTGTCCAGTTTTGCATGTATAATCTTTGATCTGTTTGTGGTTTCTGTGTTTGCCTTCATTCCTATGCTTCATATTCAAAGCAATTCTAGGTTGGGATCATAAAAATAGCCACTATCCTGGACCGGTATGGAAGGCTTGACTGGAGACCTGCACCAGGATGCTAGGGCAGAGTTGGCAGAAATGGTTCCTTCCTTGTGTGTGTGTGTCTGATAGCTTTGCGGATTGCCATACCAAGAGATTGTCTCCATCAGAAGCCAATCTAAGTACTGCTTCTTAGTAATTATGACTTTTACAGTAATGTGAGAAAAGAGAAGTGTAGCATCTTTAGGGGAAACTTGCTTCGTGGCTCGAGGTTCTATAAAGGTTCAATCAGTCCATAAAGTTGCTAGAAAAGTAAGGAAAGAGTTAAACGTGTACTTTTGGGTTTGTCCTTCCTGTTTTTGCTGACTGCATGATTTTTTTTTTTCAGGGTCTTAAGAACTTCACCTTTGGTGTCAAGGCTCCCAGTGTTAGGGATGTGACACAGAAAGGGGGTCTGGTATAAGGAGGCAAGAGTAGGCTACATATAGCTCTCCAGTAAAGCTGGTTAGTTCCATCCTTTGAAAAGACAAGCACCAGTAAGGGTAAGGGAAGTGCCTGTTCAGCAAGGTTCACTAGCAGCTTAAGTGGCAGAATGGCTGGTGAGGACGAGTGGGCTTTCTCAGTGCAACCAGCAGTCTACTTTGCCAAATTTCCCCAGAGAGTGCTGGGGATAAGTTAATAGACTCTGGGGGCTGGATGAATGCTGGTGCAACTAGCTGCAAATTACCTGCTCTTCTGTATTTATATTTCCTCTTTCTTTGGTTCACTTCCTGAATTCTTGCTGCTTTTCTCCTTGACCGACTTGTAGCTTTTCCTCAGGGGGTGCCAAGGGACTTAGAAAGACTTAAAGCAGATCAGCAAAAGGAAGTGGCGTGTTATGCCAGCAGCTGTCAGAAGTTTGGATGAGCTTGATAAAGCAGCTTAATAATAGAGAGTTCCCTTAGTCACAAAGTGCATGCTAGTGAATCAAATTCTTCATAGGCCTCCGAATTGGGTGCTTGTGTTGAAATGGATCTGCATCTGGTCCTGTGCGAAAGCAGATAATGAATTGTAAAATAATTTATGGTGAAAGGGTCATCTGGAGGTCATCTGGCCCACCCCTCACTCCAAGCAGGGCCAGCTTCAGAGTACCAAAGGCCAGGGGCTTCCTTATTCTGTTTGCTGCAAGACAAATCTTGTTTTGTTTCACTTCCCAGTAACTGGAACAGTGTTTGCTGCTTTGAAAGAAATGAGACCTTTTTAAGTCTTAGGATCATCTTCCTGAATTCCTGGGATACTGTGGTCTGATGCTGTTGTTTCAGGCAATCTTGTCTGGTGCTGCCCTGTGTTACTCACCTGTTGCATGAAAAGTCCCTTCTTTCCAATGTTGCAGATTATTATATGAAAATAAATAGCACCATCAGCAAGATTTTTCTGCATCCATTGGGTTGATTGGGGAACTCCCTTGCTGAAAAATCCCCTATGGATTTTTTTTGTCAAAAAATATAATTCCTGTGGTTAGTTCTAGTCCTGGGCATTTCCTGATGTTTCTTATTGTGAAATCAGTAGACAGCATGAACTGGGTGGTGGTCCTGTCTGGTTCTGGGCAGAAGTGCTGAGCTGTTTGCAGTGGGATGGGCTTTCAAGAGAAATTCTGGGAAAAAAAAATTGCCCTTATGCTTGAGAGTTCATGCTGATAGCCTTGTGGAGGACGTAAGTTACCCTTCTTCAAAGCAATCAAGTGTTTTTGCTTTGAAGTGTTAGATTGCAGTCTTCATAGTGCTGCCTTATCTATATGATCTTGGTTAAGTATACCTGCCGTTCTCCAGCTGCTAGGCGGCTCAGTTTCTTCCTCCTTGCTACATGGAGGGAAGGGCAGAGACCAGCCACATTAGTTTGTGCAAGAGCTAGGAACTGAAGCTGTGATTGGTGGCATCCTGCTCTTGGCTTTATTACTATTTGAAGGAACTTAAATGATAACAGCATTGGGAAGAGGACTTTGAAGCGCTGTGAGAGGCTGGGGAGAGGGGAAGAAAGAAATTAAGGGCTTAAAATGGTGCCAAAGACTTGCTTTTGGTGCTTCCAGTGAGTGACCTTGGAGGTGAAAGCTTTGTGACCCTTTCACCGTGTGCAAAAGGGGAAATCTTGCCAGGTCAGCTTCAAAACAGCTGTTAGCCCAAGGGAGGAGAACTGATTGATGTGGGAATTAGCATCTGGCTTGATGCTGCTGACACAAGAGGAGGAGGAGTGGAGATGTACCAGAAGTCAGGGGACAGGTTGCAAACAAAGGGAGACCATGCAAGCCTCAGCCTTCCCTTAAATCCTGAAGCTGCCTGTGAAGTGATCAAAGGCAGGGAAGAGAGATGTCCCTGTGGAACTCAGAAGTAGAGGAATTCATGTGTGTGTGAAAAAACAGTGACCTGGAGGGAAATGCGGGGGAGTATGTGAGAGGAGGGAGACTAACTGGACGGTGATTAAATTGACATTAGCGGGATGGGCAGTAGCAGCATCAGGCGGTCTCTTCATGTGGTCCTCAGGCATGTGGGGGTGATAAACTCTTCAAACACTGACTGGGAAGCTTGCTGCCTGTGACCTGGCCAGCATCTCCCAAAATAGTCAACTCACAGTGAGTAACTTCCTTTGCACTGTTCCCAGCTCTCCCTGGCACGTAAATCCTGTCCCCTAGTTCCTCCTGCCTTCCTGTTTGGAGAGAGGAGGGTTGCTGGGAGAGGCCTTCCAAGGGTCCTTGAGCTGTTGGGTTTCAGCTGGGAAAGTCTGCTGCTGGGCTGGGCGGGAGGCATAATGTCAGGGTTACATCCTCTGTCCCCGCTCCTGTTTCTGGGCTCCCAACCTTCACCTGTGCTGTTTGTGAAGAGGAATATGCTGCTGTTCCTCAGGCGTTTGCTGATCTTCACTTCCTTTTCGCACACGCTTGAACTGTAGATTAGGCTGCTTCTCTCTGAAGTGTGTTCCCAGTGGGAAAGGGAGCCAGCAATTATCCCTACTGCCAGGAGTGCACTTTCTCACACGGCCTGATCCTGGGGCAGGGAGCAACTCGCTGCCTTGTCTTTCAGGCCCCTTGTGGGTTTGAAGACAAAAGCAGAAGCAGCTCCAATCCTTCCTGCAGTCATTTGAGGAAAGTTCAGAAGAGCTCAGATGAGGAATTTGGATCCTTAAGTCTTACAGGTTTCCCTCCCTTCTCCTGAAGGTGATGGTCTTGTTTGTGTTGGAAGTAGACTCTGCAGACTTCTTGTGCAACGTGGCCCACAGCAGACAGGGCAGGCTTCTGTTGGACTTTGCCCCAGCCCTGGTGTTTTGAGCTGTGTAGACTTCAGGATTGCTGTCCAGCAAAACTTGCTTTGCAGCTAGTGCATGAGGCTAGCTGCCTTCCACAGCAAGGAGGGAACTACTATGGAAGGATAATGCTCAAGAGTGACTGTAGTCTTGAATCCACATACAGACAAGCTGTCATCTCTCTTCTTGGAACTGTTCAAGCAGATGGAGTAAACTTCAGCACCACAGTTCTTGTCTCTCTGATACTTACAGGAACAGCGAGGAGGCAGTGCACACTTCTTTGCTTCCATGGATGCTCTGTTAGGATCTCTGCTCTTCTCCACTGGTGAGCCAGTACAAAGCTGGTAGGATCCTGGTCCTGCCTGCTGCTAACGCTGCAGCACCCTCTGGTGTTGCTGAATCTGTCCCTTAGCTGCTTTTGTTTTCTCCTTTCTGTCCATCTCTTGACTAAGGAAGCTATGAGAAGAGGAACCACACGAAGGAGTCTCCCACAGTGAAATGCTCTCATATATATTCAGTTACTGAATATCAACCAGTGGCTGATTTATGTAGGCCACAGACTAAACCTGATGTAATTCCTTTTCAGGTGTTCCCCTCCTTTACTTTTATGCTTGTGTGTAGGCTGAAACCTCCTTTCCATAGTCTCCACCTGGAATGATTCACGATTTTTAAATTTTTTTTTAATTTCGCTACTGTGGAATTATGAAGCTCTGACTGCCTTTTTTTTTTTTTTTTAGTTTGTTCTCCTTCCATGATCAAAAAGTTCAAGAACTCTGACCTTGCTATCTGACCTATTCTGACAGTTATTTTGCAGAGGACACTCGGGTTTGAAGAAAATCCTCCTTCTTCCTTTGGTTGTCTCAATAGCCAGGACTCAGCTAGTGACACGAGGGGGACACAGTTGTTTTCTTCTTTCCCTTGCATCCGATGTCCCTGTTTTGCCAGCACTGCATGAACAGCATCTTGACCTGTAGTTATTGACAGTGAAGGATGAAACTGAAAGAACTGGTAGCTCTTTGTAGTTGCACTGTTGGAAAATTTAAAAGGAATTTCACAAAAAAAAAAAAAAAAGAAAAACATTAAATTTAAATATTCTGCTTTTAGCTAGTGCCTGGCTCTGCTACTTAATTCTTTCCTTGTTTGTTGTTTGCCACTGAAACACCCTGCTCAGATGCAGATGAGGTCATCTCAATAGTCAGGTTTTGGGTTTTGCTACATATGTCCTGTTATACTGCATGTCTCCACCGAACCATTGTTCTGTCTGCATCACTAGTATTCATGTTAATTCTGTGCCTAAGCTCCTGACTTGAACTTGGCACACACTCTGGTTGCCATGTTGCTGACCCAAATTCTGGCTGCATTAGGAGCGAGCCTTCCTCGCCAGCTTGCAGAACCTCAGGCTCTGATGACTGCCATCAACAGTGGTTTCTGGAACTTGTGAAAACTGAGGGCTGCTTTGTTTCTGCCTGTGAGCAGATGTTAGGAACCTGCTCCTGTGTGTGCACAGCAGTTAAATTGCAATGGTAACTATTGTAGGTTGATTTTTAAACCAACCTGTGTGCAAAGACATTAATGAGGTACCTGCCAACTGACTGTGTGGTGTGTAACTGGAGGTGGAAAAGAACCTTCAAACTAAATATGGATTTAAGGCTTTTGGATCATTTAAGGCTGTGGATCAGGCAGCTTTTGCTGAGGTGGGCAAGAGTAGCCCAGCTCTAATTGTAGCCATTGTGGATGGTTGTCTGGCTCTGTGCTAAGCTTTTTTGAATGTGTAGAGGTAGAAGTCCAATATATAGTAGCCAGATTGGTAAGGCTATGTGGGTGAGAACCTGAATCTGTTGGAACTGGTGGGAAGTTTGTAGTTGCAAGCAGAGTTGGGATTTCTTCCTCTTTGTCTCACTTGTCATGGTGTGACACTATTCTGCTCTTCTGTTCTTGTTTTTGCAGAACATCCAGAAGATGCTTGGTCTTGCTCCTTCCCGGGCTGCCACCAAACAAGCAGGGGGCTTCCTTGGTCCACCACCTCAGGCAGGGAAGTTCTCCTAAAGCACAGTTACAGCCTTCAGGGAAGGTCTGGCCAGTGCACAAGACTGCCTTTGGGAGGTAACCAGATGGGATTCTGCACCAGGCTTCACATGTCCAAAACCAGCCTATGCAGTATTGGCTACAGTCTTGGAAAAATCTTCCATTTGGAGTATTCTACCAGCAGTTGTTTGCTCATCAAACCAAGAAAGTTCTCAGAAGATAACTTGACCTTTTGTTTCTGGTGTTTCTGAGAAATAAATGGCATGGGCATGTTTATTTAGATGTCTCTTAATTGTGCTGTAGGACAAGTAGAAATACATTGATGTAGTGCAGTTGATTTAGTTTGCGGCATGAAAATCAACTCAGAAAGCAAGAGTGGCATCTGCAAAGTAGACAGTTTGGAAAATTCAGAACAATTATGCTGCAAAGTGACTCTCTTAGCCACAAGACTTGGCTCTAGTCTTGTGTAGTAGCGAGCTGGGCAAGGAGGTGGGCTTAGTTCTCCCTTAGCAAGACTTCCAGCGTGGAGGGTGAGGTTTTTTGTTGGCTCAGGTGACTGCAGGCACTGGAACCTGCCTCTGTGCCAGGCTGCCCTTGGAGGTTGCAAGTGTTTCTGGATGTACTGTCAGCCTGTGTCTTCGTGGCAAAGTACAGCCCCACAGAGATTTTTGTGGCATTACACAGCTTCTGTAAAAGTTGCTTGCTTAGGCAGAATCTGCTCAATTACAGAAACAAACCTGGCCTTCAAACTTGAGTGAACTGTTAAATTATGTCAATACCATCCACTGGTACTGAACGTTTTATTGCCTGAGTGGTTACGAGAGCAGCGTTTTATTTCATGCTCCTTAGTTTACTGCTGAACAGACTGATGATCAGTATGCATCTTAAAAGGCTTCTTTCTTAGGCCAGGAAGCTCTCTACATTGTCTTCTGCTTCACCAGATAACTACCTGGCTCAGTCTTGTTGGCTGGAACCTGCTCACCTTGTTTAAAACGGGGGAATAAATCTTGCTGCCACTCTCAAGTTAGGCTGATAGTTTTCCTGAAGCAGGCAGTACCCTTAGGGACTATTATTTCTTGTTTCTGTGACCAGAGGTTTATCATGTGGTACTTCTTACTGGGAGTTTTTGACTAGATAGATGGCAAGAGAGTAAATCTGAAACACCTTATGGCAGTGTGGAGCATGTGCAATACTGTTATTAAATACTAAATATTGGACTAATTTTCACTAATAAGTATGGGGCGCTTTTGTAGGATTATTTAAAGATAAATCATGAGTGTGGAACTTCTACTGTATCCTGATGCTGCCTGGCTCTAAAGCTGCATTTTTTTACTTTTTTTTTTTTTTACTTACCGTTGTGTCTGGTGTAGCTACAACCTTCCATAAGGAGCAGCCCCCATTGTGTAATTCCTGATTCCCTAGCGTGGCCTCTCATAGTTCAAGGGCCTGATCCCACAGCAAAGCCAGAAACACCCCAGCCTGTGTTACCTGCATGGAGCAGCCTTGTTGAAGTAGTTTATTCTGCAGCATGTGGTTGTTTGATCCAACAAAGACAGCCGCATCTGATCAAGCATAATGACAAACTTGTACCTTTACGGCTTCGGAAGCCTTAAGTGCAGTATAGTAACTTTTCCTGCTGCTGTCAGAATCTCTGCCCTCGGCAAATCTGTGCCCTGTTGCATCACACCACGCTTTGTCAGCTGGGGAGGGAAACGTTTGCACATCCACAGATTATCTGAGAATTATTGATCCGTTGCTATATTCTGGTTGCTTTCTGCTCTCATTTGTTTGATACTGTAGTTCCCTGGGGGTTGTTAATCATTATAATGAACTGAGGGAGAACATCTTTCCTAACCTCAGCTGCTGAAAGGTCTGAGTTCCAAGAAGCTACAACATGGAACGAAAAACAACTTTATGATCACAGGAAGAGTCTGGTTTGGAAGGAAAAAAGGATGTTTTTGGTTCTGTTTCATGGATAACTTTAAAAAAAAAATAATCTCAACATAAATTGCACATCTTTGAGGAGGTTTAACTACTGCCAGGGGGTGGTAATATACATGTGTTGCTGCTAGTCCCCAGCCCGTGCTGCTCCCATCCATCATCTCGCGCAGCTGTAGACCTGTTCATTTGCGCTTCTTTTTGTCCTTTACGCAATTTGCAGCGCAGTCTTGCGTCCCGTCCCTGGCCGCAGCTATTAGAGGAACTTTTCAGAAACTCTGCAGTAGACGGCTGTGAAATATACATCCGCGGGCGTTTGCTTTCCCGCAGCTCAGCCGTTCGGTTGTACGTATCGACTCGTTCTTTGCCAATCTTAAAACCATTTACCGAAACCTCTGAAAGTTCGGCGTCGCCCTGGGTGGGACGTATTACCTCCGAGCCGCCAGGGGGAGCCCGAGCGCCGGGCAGGGCCGCGGGGCGGGGCCCGCGGCCCTGAGGTAAAAGGCACCCGGGCGGGGCTGGCCCAGGGGTACGTCTCCCGTGGGGTTTCCCGGCCCACCGCCTTCCCTTCCCGACGGCCCAGCCGATGCTGGTGCGGTCCCGGTTGCCCAGCCTTTTGCCCCGGCTCTGCTCCTTTCGTCCCAGCCTCGCCATGAGCAGCGTTACCGGTACCGTCACCATCCAGCAGCCCCTCAACTACCGGGCGGGCGGCCGCGTTCAGCCCGTCGATGGAGGCCAGGCCGAGGAGGTGTATGAGCCGGCCACAGGTACCTCCCCGTTGCCTGCTCGGGGTGTGGGGGGGTTAAAGCTGCGCTGAGGCGCGGGGCCGGTGGCCGGGAGTTGCCTACTTGTTATTTAACTGCAAGGGCCGGGTGCCATCGGCTTTTCCCAGCTGCCCACGTCCGATACCGCCTATGCAGGCGTCCTGAAGGCTGGGGTCTTTTGGTGGCTGCGTTTTGCCTCCTGCAGTGCCAATCATCAAACTTTTTAGAAGAAATCAGCCCTGATTCTTAAAAAAGTCGAGTGGTGCCTGATCTTGGCAAAGGATATGATTTAAACATTTCTAAATTTTTTTTTTTTAATTGGACGTATCTAGGTTTCAGCAGAATCACCTCAAGAAAGAGTGTTTAACTATGCTGGGGAATGTGTAACAGAGTCCTGAAGCTGGTGGTAGAAGTAAAACAAACTCCAGTGGGAAGCAGAGGAATTTTGTAATAATCGGAGCTAATTAGTAACTAGAACATGACTGTGGAGAATGGCAGATCTTGTACTTCAGACCAGCTGAATTGCAGCACCTCTTCTATAGCCAATTACAAATCAATGGGAACCATAGCATGAAGTTCTGTAAGCCTGGTGTATATATAGGTGGCTGATCTGAAGACTTTGGGTTTCAATGCAAGATAAACCATATTCTTCTGTGCCCCTTTTCTGAGATTTCCCGCCTGTTTATTTCCTGTTTAAAATGTGCCTAGGTCGTGTGATATGCAAGGTGGTCTGCTCTGGGCAAAAGGAGGTCGATCTGGCTGTGCAGAGTGCAAAGGCTGCCTTTAAAATATGGAGTCAGATGTCTGGCATGGAGCGAAGCAGGGTACTGCTGGAGGCTGCCAGAATTATTCGGGTATGTTGTGGGAGCTCGTCTCCTTTTTTGGAGTGGGGTGGCTTTGTCTCTGAGCTTTCTTGTGGGTTAATGTTGTTGTTGGGGGCTTCCAGCGGGACTTCCAGAGCTCCAGGAGGAACGCAGGAGTTAAAACCCACCTTTGACCAGAAGAGACAGTAGGCTGCCTTGGGCAGGGCTTCAGTCTTGTCACTGTATTCAAGGCCAGTGTGTACTTTCTCTGCTTAATTCTGTTAGAAGACATAAAACTGAAGCCATCCAGTCGAGATCTTGCAGGGCTTGTACTTCTTTTTACAAGTCCAAGGATGAAGCTGAAATTGCACAACTGTCACATTGTTGAACTTCTAGCTTGTCAGACACTGTTGTCACGCGACTGGAGTGTGTCTTAGTTTAGCAATAAAAAAAACGTAGGAATGCTGGTTTTTATCTTAGACACCAGATAGTACACATGGGAGGGAGAGGATACAAATCTTGGACATCAAAGTTAATCCCCATGGAGGCACAGGTCTGTAAGAAACCAGACCTTCTTTCCCCATTGTGTATATGTGATGAGAAAACTGTTTCCTTCTGCCAGACTTCCGCAATAGGATAATATTCCTGTCAGGGAGATGGTCTGTTAAAGGATGTTTCCCAGCTGTGTTGCTTTATCCATTCTTCACTAAGTCCTCTGGTTCCATTTTGATCTTGCTGTTTGTTGTTCTTCCCAGTTTAGTTCTTTGAATTCTAATCATTGTTTGCCAGCCAGCTTCCAAGTTCAGGTTTGCTCATCTTTTAGATGAACGGGGATGTTAGGCAAGACTGGACCAGCAGTGAACCCCAGCGGCAGCAGCGGCCGTCTGTTTGACATTCCCCTGCAATTGGTTGCCACTGGGAAACTGATAAATAGTAGTTGGGAATGTACCTTTTAGAGATGACAGTTTCTCACAGCAGAGCCTGGCTTACTGATGGCAGAGCCTTGTTTGGGACTTGTGTGATTGAGAACCAGGTATTGCCTTGTGGAGATCTACTACAGACTTCTCTAATGTATTATCGCTGTGCTGTGCCTCTCACAGGAGCAGAGAGAAGAAATTGCCACCATGGAAACCATCAACAATGGGAAATCTATCTTTGAAGCCAGAGTGGACATTGACATATCCTGGCAGTGTCTGGAGTATTATGCAGGACTGGCAGGATCTCTAGCTGGTGAGAACGTTACTGGAGTTTGCTCTTTACTCTCTGTCCTGCCACTTGTATTCCCTGGTAATTTCCATGGCATGAAACCATCTTTGCTGTTGATTTCTTAAGAGATGGACTACTCCTTTTTCTGAAGATCTTGGAAGGATTTTCAGAGATCTCTACCTAATGCTGCCATGCTCTGTGGGCACTTATGTACCTTCTGTGAGCTTGCTGGGGTAAAAGCCATGTGTCTCTGTTCCCAATCAAAGCAAGATCTGGCCCCTGAGGCTCTGATAAGACAGGAAGGGGCTTTGCTCTTCTCTAACTTCTGGCTGTTTCTTTTCTTTGCAGGTGAACACATCCAACTGCCTGGGGGATCCTTTGGGTACACTCGGAGAGAGCCCCTTGGAGTGTGTGTTGGGATTGGAGCCTGGAATTACCCCTTCCAGATTGCCTGTTGGAAGTCTGCCCCGGCCTTGGCTTGCGGTAATGAAGACTCTCTGTCTGTGCAAGCTTCTCTTTGAAGCCAAATGATCCTGTTTGGGAGAGTGATTGCGGGGATGAAGTCTAGGATTACCTTGAAGGAGGTGTTGAAGGATTAGCAGAACCTTCAGGCTGTTACTCTGGCCAGAAGAGAAAGGAAATGGAAGTGGGAACACGGTAGATGCTAGGAGGGCAGGGAGTGCATCAGGAAAAAGACTGATTGCTTGGCTTTGTACCAGATGGGGAAGGTCTCTGGAAATGTCTGCAGTGCAGCCCCATCTCTCCCAGCCCTTCCCAGTGGGAAGGTGCAGTTCCTCCCTTTCACTGGTTGCAATGTTCAGCTGAAACTGTTTCCTCCTCTCTTGGGGGGAATCTTCTAGGATCTGTTGAGACAAACTTATTGTGTGGTTTGGGTTTTTTTGTGGTGTTTTTGGTTTTTATTTCTTTTCCCTAAAGCAGTTTGGCTGTTAACCGCACCTTGCCTTTGTCTGGGTTCCCCTAGGCAATGCGATGGTCTTCAAGCCCTCTCCCTTCACCCCTGTTTCGGTGGTGAGGTTGGCAGAGATCTTCACAGAGGCCGGTGTGCCCAAGGGGCTCTTCAATGTGGTGCAGGGTGGAGCGGCCACAGGCCAGTTCCTCTGTCATCACCCAGATGTGGCCAAAATCTCTTTCACTGGCAGTGTGCCAACTGGCATCAAGGTAAAGGCACCTTCACACTCGGGGACACAAGGTGTCTGTAGTGCCAGCCTTCCTGGTGTGCTGCGGACGTCGATATCTCCTTGAGCTTTTGTGCATGAGGCTTGTAAAGATGGGGTGTGAGTCAGCATTTCTGGGTCTGAGCATAGGATTTGCACGTACAGGGTTACACTGGGGCTCCAGTTATCCTACTGGGCATGGGCTTGGGCACTCAGTCCTTTCAGAGGAGCCCCTTGGTCATCTTTATTTCTTTAGCCCCTGGTTGCAGTGAAGTCTCTGAGCTGCTAAAGGGTATCTATATAGGGAGGAGGGTACATAAAACAGCAGCACTGCGAAAATGTGGGAGCGTTTCTGGCAGTAATAGCTCGGCTTAGTTGTATGCAACCTGCTGTTTTTAAGCAAGAGGTTAGTTTTTGTGAATTTCTTACCCTCAATTTATTCTTCAAATAAATTCTTCAATCAGAAGTCCCTAAAAAGACTTCTAAAAATAAATTCTGATTTGAAAGAGGGGAAATGTTGCCCCTTGAACGCTCCCTACATGTGCGTACCTGTGGGGTGCAGTGACACAGATGTAGTTATAGCTGTCCTCAGCTTACGCTGAGCACGAGACTTCCTGCAAATGACTCCTCAGGTTTTGTTGGTTTTATCTTTAAAATAAAGAACAAACCCCAAACCCTTTGAGACTGTCCCCAGTCTGAACTAAACACGTCTAGGAAACCCCGCTTGCCCTTTGTGCTGTTTCTGTTGCTGGTGAAGGGCCCTGCAGGAGCTCTCCCTTTGGGTCTCTCTTGCCTCCCTCCACCAGCTAGTGGGTCATTTGTCTCTTCTGTGCTTGTTTCCCTCAGATCATGGAGATGGCAGCTAAAGGGATCAAACCAGTCACCCTGGAGCTGGGGGGTAAATCCCCCCTTATCATCTTTTCAGACTGTGCCCTGGAGAATGCTGTGAACGGAGCCCTCATGGCCAACTTCCTTACGCAGGGCGAGGTGTGTGTCCATGGGGCAGGAGTGGTCCTTCTCAGTGTGGTGGGGTGGTTTGAGAATTGGGCAGCAGAGCCAGCCTGTGGCCTTGCATAGTGAGGGATGCCCTGAAGCTCCCATCTTGCCACACATTTCCCTGTGCAGTGTCACAAGGGATCGGAAGGGATGCCCTTGCAGAAGCCAGTGTAGGGCATCACAGCAGAGTATGCCTGAGCCGATGCCCTGTCCTTCCCAGAAGTGGAGCCTCTCTAACACCTGGTACCCAGCTCAGAACAGTTGCTCCCGTGCCCTGGGCTCCAGTCTGGTGCTCAGAGGTCAGAAGAAGCTGTGCTGGTGTCCTCTGGAGGAGCAGCAGGTTCCAGTCTGTTGCACTGAGCCACAGCCCTATGGGGCTCTGTCCCGTATTTGGGATCTCTACACGTGCTGCAGGTTTTGTGTAATCCTGCTGGCAAATTGGTTTACCGAGGTCATCTCTGGGAACTGGAAGTCAGCTCAAGTGCTCTTCTGCTGGTGAGTTGATGCGTTTTCGCCACCTGGTGGCATCATTACCACTGTGTCCAGCATGGACTGTTCAGTGCAGTCATGAGCAGCAGGATAATCTAGTCGTCTTTGTCCCCAAGGACAAGTTAGCTGTTTTAGCAGCTGTGAAGGGGCTTTTCTGAGAGCCTCTGTAGCAGGTCCCAAGCAGGGAAGGACTGTGGAGTGCTGTGTGTCTTACACTGAGCAGCCTGCCCTTTATCTCAGGTGTGCTGCAACGGCACGCGAGTGTTTGTGGAGAGGAAGATACTGGATGCCTTCACAAAGGAGGTGGTGAAACGCACCCAGAAAATCAAAATTGGAGACCCGCTTCTGGAAGACACACGGATGGGAGCCCTCATCAACCGGCCCCACCTGGATCGTGTCCAGGGCTTTATCAAGCAGGCGAAGGAGCAGGTGAGATTGTGATGCTGCCTTGTGACTGCACTGAAATGTTTCTCTTTCTTGTTAGAGAGACTGGCACCTGCTTTCCTGCCCCATGCCTTCCCAGTTAAGCTGGTTTTTTTTTGTTGCGGTTGAATTACTCGTTAGGTGTCTTGGGCCACTAGATACATAAATTTGATGGGTGGACTGTTTGGTGGATGAGGAATTGGTTGGATGGTCACATCCAGAGGGTAGTGGTCAATGGCTCAATGTCCAGATGGAGATCGGTGACAAGTAGTGTCCCTCAGGGGTCTGTATTGGGACCAGTATTGTTTAATATCTTTATCAGTGACATAGTGGGATCAAGTGCATCTCAGCAGGTTTGCAGACAACACCAAACTGAGTGGTGCGGTTGACATGCCTGAGAGACGGGATGCCATCCAGAGGGACCTGGACGAGATTGAGAAGTGGGCCCATGCGAACCTCATGAGGTTCAACAAGGCCAAGTGCAAGGTCCTGCACATGGGTCAGAGCAACCTCCAGTATCAGATACAGGCTGGGGGATGAAGGGATTGAGAGCCGCCCTGTGGAGAAGGACTTGGGGGGTACTGGTGGATGAAAAGCTGGACATGAGCCGACAACATGCGCTCACAGCCCAGAAGGCCAACCGTATCCTGGGCTGCATCCAAGGCAGGGTGGCCAGCAGGTCAAGGGAGGTGATTCTGCCCCTCTGCTCTGGTGAGACCCCACCTGGAGTACTGTGTCCAGCTCTGGAATCCTCAGTACAGGAAAGACATGAACCTGTTGGAGCAGGTCCAGAGGAGGGCCACAAAAATGATCAGAGGGATGGAACACCTCTCCTATTAACAAAGGCTGAGAGAGTTGGGGTTGCTCAACCTGGAGAAGAGAAGGTTCCGGGGACCCCTTCTTGCAGCCTTTCAGCTGCAACCCCCCCCCCCTTATAAGGGGTCTTATAAGAAAGATGGGGACAGACTTCTTAGTAGGGCCTGTAGCAGTAGGACAAGGGGTAATGGCTTTAAACTAAAAGAGGGTAGATTCAGACTAGGTATAAGGAATAAATTTTTTATGATGAGGGTGGTGAAACACTGGAACAGGTTGCCCAGAGAGGTGGTAGATGCCCCATGCCTGGGAACATTCAAGGTCAGGCTGGACGGGGCTCAGAGCAACCTGATCTAGTTGAAGATGTCCCTGCTTATTGCAGGGGAGGGTTAGACTAGATGACTTTTAAAGGTCTCTTCCAACCCAAACCATTCCATGATTAAAAGTGACCCAGTGCCTATCTGAATCAGCATTGAAGTTGACATGGCTTTTCATATCCTGCCAAGTTTTAGAGGTGGTGAGATACCCAGCAAGGCAGTGTGTAAAACGGGATAATCCATAAGGTTTGGGCTGGTTCTAAGTTGTGGTGCCACCTTGCACGCTTGGCTGTTATCTCATTTGGGTTCCAGTTTTGTTGGAGAAAGAGCTTGCTAAGGATCAAAGGCCAAATTTACAGGCTGCTGGAAACCATCTCTGTAAGAGCAATAAGATCTACACAGGGTTTTTTGTTTTTTTTTTTTTCTCCAGGTTTTATTGTAAAGTGTAAAGATGTTTTAAATGTCAGTGCTAGGTATATGACTAGGTGTAGCCAGTTTGGGGAAGGGATGGAGAAGGGGAACTGTGAGTGAAAGCCAGGAGGGCTAGACCAGGATTTGGAAACAGGAAGAGGGATGTGGAAGGAGATGTGGGGAAGGAAGGAGAAGTCCCCATCTCTAAAACTGGGCATTTGATGGAGGTAGGTGTTTCTTGCCAGGTGGAGTGCTAAGGGACTGGTTGACTCGCTAACGAGGGAATTCACACCATGTGAAGATGTGGAAGTTAATGTGATACCAGCTGAGGATCTGCTCCTAGTTGTAGTTGCTTCCCTCAAACCTACACTGGCTCCTGTGGCACTTGCACCCCAAACTGGCATTGTTCAGACTTTTAGGATGGGTCTCACCCCCTGACCCTCATCTATCAGTGATGCTCTGTCAGCAGTCCTGACCTGGAGAGACGCCAGGGAGGGCACAGGCACTGTTTGTCCGATAGGACTGTAAACCCAGCAGGGATTATTGGCCAGCCAGAGCTGCGGCAGCTGGGCAGGATGCTCCTGGATGTGTATGCCTACCTTCTGCTTGGCTCTTTTTCAGGGGGCAGAGGTGCTGTGTGGTGGGGACCTGTGGGTGCCAGATGACCCGAAGCTGAAGAATGGCTACTACATGCGACCCTGTGTGTTAGGTATGATCCTTCCTATCATGGTACTGTGGTCTTCTATGTGGATATTACTGAGTTTCTTCTAGAAAAAAGCTGTGTTCAGCGTAACCTGCCTCTGTGTACATCCGCAGTGTAGACAGGCACTCATAGGTGTACTAGAGAGAGCTGAGGTACCCAAGAACTGCATCCAGAGAAATCTCTGCTGTTGGAAGGTCTGAGAGGGCACGTGCAGTTAGTGCCTCTGCTGCCTTGAGATGCAGGATGGGACTTGCTCCACTGCTAGCCAAGTCAGGGGGGCTGTGCAGTGCTGAGTGCTGTCTCCAAGGCTGTGTGGGTTGCCGAATACACAGGCTGTGCCACTAGCTCTTCCTCCTGAAGGACGTGTTCTCTGCCTTGCTTCCAGGGAACTGCACGGATGACATGACTTGTGTGAAGGAAGAAATCTTTGGGCCTGTCATGTCCATTCTGCCATTTGACACGGAGGAGGAGGTTGTGGAGAGAGCCAACAACACCAAATTTGGCCTGGCAGGTGGTGTCTTTACCAGGTATGACTGGGTAGCGTGGCTGGTGTGGAAGCAGTCTAGGGAGAAGGGAAATACTGCAGCAACTTGATGCTCCTCTTGCAGTGCCTGGCACGGGCATGGATATTCTCTTCCAGAAAAGCTGGAGCAAGGGATTGCCAGAAGGGAACATTGTAAATGACTGCACATCTCCTCCCAGTTTTTTTCCTGAAGGGTTAGGTGGGCCCAGCTGTCCTTCAGACTCCTTCCAGCTTGTGCTTGGCCTGCTGCCTGCCTTCCTGCATCTCGCAGAGACGTGCATCAGGAGCCTGCTACGCTGCTGAAAGCATGCAAAGACATCTGCTGGCTGCTTGCCATAGTCTGCTTTGCTGGTGTCCTTGTCCTGCCTTCTCAAATCAAATGCAGTTTTGAGTGTCCTTGAGAATAGGAGCTGCATCCTTTGAGCAGGCAAAGACAGAGCAGGGCAGGTTGTGCTCCAAAAAACACTGCTACCTGCTGACCTTTCTGTAGTGGGATGTTAACTGGCAGGGAAGGAGGGAATGAATGGGAAGGGATCCAGCTGAATTGCCCTTTTCCTGCAGGGATATCCAGAAGGCTCACAGGGTAGTAGCTGCTCTCAAGGCTGGGATGTGCTTCATTAACAATTACAACATCAGCCCTGTGGAGCTGCCTTTCGGAGGTTACAAGGCATCAGGTGAGCTCTGTTTGACCTTCCCTGGTATGACTACATGCCAGTTACAGGGGATATGAGTGGTACCTGGCACAGCCTGGAGCTGTGTTCTCACTTCTGGCTTGTCCCTGCAGGATTTGGCAGAGAGAACGGGCGGGCAGCCATTGAGTACTACTCGCAGCTGAAGACTGTCTGCGTGGAGATGGGTGATGTGGAATCTGTGTTCTAGTGGCTCTGCAGCCTGCTCAAGGGAGCAACAGCCAGTTCTTGCCTGTCAGCCAGAGATGTGGATCATTTACACAGCAATAAAGTGCTCTAAAATTGTAAGTGCCTGGAGGGTAACATTGCTGGAGCAGCATTTAGCCATCCTGCTTCTGCCAGGAGGAATGTACACACAGGGCTTAGCTTGTGGGCCTGCTCTGTCCTGTCTGGTACCTCGGGCTAGGAGGCAGCAATATGGCTTTCAGCAGCAGCTCATGCAACTACCTAGGTGTTGCCAGAGGCTTGTCAGTGACAGAGGCCTGGCCCAGACTGCTTCCTGTGCTGCGTGCCTTGAACCCCACTGCCTTCCACCCTCGGTCAACTTCATCTTTGGCTTAACAGATGTGACCCTACTCAGTGCACACATAAGCTCTTGGACACATTGATATCCTGTAGCTATAGGCTCTGTCTATTCTCTGACTACATAACAGCCTTAAGGGTAGGATTGTTTATTCCCTCTAGCCCCCTTGTAAACACAAGTTTTGTTTTTTTTAACTGTACCTCACTTCCCACAATATTTAGTCCCACCTTGGGATGGTTAGCTGATGCTGCCTGGGACAGGCATGACCCTGAGGATCATCTCCACACACAGACTATGGAGCACAACCAGGGTGGTAGCAAGCTCCAGCATAGGATAGAGTGCTGCTGCTCTTAACTGAAAGCTCTTTGACTTCCTTCCTTCCTATAGGTCTACTGTTCTTTATAAACGTGATGAAGCAACAACTTTAAATGTTTGCCTACTTCTTTTTTAGCAATCAAATAAATAAATATTAACTCTGTCTGGAACATCTTATCTCAGAGTGACATGAACTGAGGGGTTCATAAAGAGGGCTGCTGCTCTGTGGGTTGAACAGGGTGCAACATAGCTTTTCGGTCACTAAAAATCATAAAAGCTAGAACGTCTCTGCCTGATGGGCACATTTCTGTAGGCCTACAAAACCAGAGTTGTTCTAGCATTCTGCAAAACTTCTTAAGAAAACCCTCTATAACTTTAGAATGAAAATATAGAATTGACAACTTCATTTTATTGAATGAGGAGAAAAGGAAAACAACAAGGAAATGTTCTAAAAGAAAACAAAAATGCCTTTAGTTTCCCAGGCAGCCATCATGATGGTCATTTAGTCCTGGCAGATCCAGCCGAGGTGCTGGCAAGCTGAATACACGCCTGTGCCCACTAGCCCAATGAGTGCAACTGAACCAATGGCCCCTCTCCTTCGGTTTTTTGGATCTGGAAAAAAGACATGTTTTGTCAGCTCAGCAGGCCATCACTGAAAGGCTAGTCTACCCCATCCTGAAAATTAAAGAGGGAGCAGGAATTAGAGATATATCTCAAGGCAAAACAGCAGGCACCAGCTCAGGCCATGTACCTACCCTCAGTCTGTGCTATTATTAGGCTAGTGCTCTTCCTAGCAGTAGGAAAAGAGTACTCAGAGTTAGCAGCCTGTGGACGTGCACCCTTTTCTCTACACCTGGAGTGGAAGCTTTATGCTGCCTCCCTAATGTGAGCTGGAGGAAAGAGCCCTGAGGCCACTGTAGGAGATTTGAGTTTCCAAGTGCCTGCTGTGTGCTGCAGGGTGAAGACCCACCTCCTGTGTAGTAGCCATGGGCATAAAGGATTCTCCCAAGGATCCAGGTGAGGCCAAGCCCTGTGGCAATCCGCTAGAGAGAAAGGAGAAACATTAAGGTTTTGGAGACTTGCTGCTTGCATGTGCTTTGCTGTTACAGCAGCCCTGCTTCAAAGAAGCGACCACCAACTACTGTGTGGGTGCTGACCTTGCCAGGACAACTGGGAGTCAGCGTGGGGGAGACGGGTGACTGATGCAGTGTGCTAGGGTGAGTTTTGTATAGGAGTCACTTTCATGATGCCTGTGGGGAGGAAGCATGTGACGCAGAGTCTTGCTCTTTTGCAGCACAGCTCTTCCCAAGCAAGAAATGGTTAAGTCATGCAGGCAGCAGGTGCTGAATCTCATTTTACCAGTGTCCAGTTAGTGAGCTAGACCAAGTGCCACAATTTTGGAGGCAGCTGTTGCCCCAAGCCCCACTCCACTGCCTGCCTCCAGCAGGTGTACAGCTTTTCCTGTTGCAGGTGTTACAAACTTCCACCTTGCCTCTTAATTTAAAGCTTGCTGCAACCTGGCTCCAGTTTGCCAGATCTGCCTATGCTGCTTCCTTCCCTCTCTGAAAAAGAATATTCAAGAAGGGCCTGATTTGTCTATTGGTGGCAAAGAAAGAGCTACTGGTTTTGGCCTCTCCCACATGCCTCCCTCCTCATGGGTTGTCTACATCTTTTAGTTAAAAATAATCCAGGCTTTTTTTGATCCTTTGCGCACCTCCTTTGGTGGAAGTGAGTGGGAAGATCACCATGTTCCCCATCTATTCTTGTCAGATAGACTCCTCATGAAAGTGTTCTTAGGTGGGAGAAAAAGTGTTCCTGTCCTCCCCACAACCAGCTGCTGAGTAGTACTGCTGTAAGCCCAGCGGGACCGTGCAGGGCTTGGAAGAACCAGGCAGGGTTGGAGGGACCCTTCCCACTCATGGACTGGAGGCTGTGAATGCTTCAGTTTGTCCAACAAGGCACCCTTAGGGGAGGGAAAGGGCTCTAATAGCTGAAGCAGCAGTAATGAGTTTATTAAATACTTGTGATTCCCCTGCACAAGACCTTCTACAACTACATTTTCAGAAGGGGCACAGCTGTGAAGCGTGATGTGGCTAGTGAAGCAGCCTGCTGCCTCCAGAGGGGCTAGTTTGGCCTACTGCCCCCCACCCTCCCCAAGTCAGGGAGCAAGAGCAGAGTTCAGTCATGCAGACCTGCACTGTAGCATCACTTACCGGGTGGTAGACTCCACCAGTGGCTAAAAAGAACAGGAAGGCGGGATAAACTTCCAATCTGAAAATAAAAGCGAGGAGGCCGTGTTTGTGCTCAAGTTGCTCACAAAGAGGAAACTCTAGAAATGCAGAAGCTGCGAGCATCCCCTGCCAAGGTCTCTGTTGGGCCTGACTGTTATGAATCTCTGTGCTCAATGCTGTGGCCACAGATGGAGGAAAGAAGGAATGTGAGCATGCACAGACTTTTAGGGACTTTCCCTGTCTGTGCCTCTCTCTGAGCCCACCCACCCACTCTCTCCCTTCTGTGCCCTAAGCCACTGCTAAATACTACTTGCCACCAGCTAACCCAGGAAGAGTTGTTCCTCCCAAGCACCCCTCTGATGTGCTGTTGCAGCCTGGTCCACAGTAGCTGGGTGGTCTTAGACCTCCCTGGAGGGAGACCTGGGCAGCACAACAGATCAGCAGTCCCCAGGCAGCCTCTTCTGGAAGCAAGACTTCTAGTGTCTTCAGATCTGCCCACAGAGGAAAAGAGCCAGGCACCAGGGAAGAGGAGGCTGCTTCACAGCCCCGTCTCCTGGTTTAAGGCACGGTAACGAGCCAGCACGGCCTTACTGCTGAGCGTGACCCGGCCGTGTGTTTTCCTCAAGCGTTGACCCTGAACCCAAGCGCTTGGCAGCAGCGAGTCTCTCGCTGTAGGCCCTGCTCCACAGCCCTGTGTATTTTCAAGGTCTGCATTCGTACATGTTACTCACGTGTTCTGGTGCGCACGCTGGATGCAGTTGAATATACGCCCGTGTTCAGGGTCTGTGCTGTACATGGTTGGATACTGCCAAAAAAAAACCAAACCCAGCAGCAAAATATGAGCAAGCGCAGTCTGGGCTTGGGAGCCTGTTCTCCAGCAGTGAGGAGCGTGCCCGGCAGCACCGCTCCCCAGGGAGCCCAGTGCTGCCCCAGTGCTTGCAAGACTGACTTGTGTTGGTAAGTTAGAGCCTGTCTCCTGCCCTGTGACCCACAAATGCTTTGTTGAAATTACTGCTTGCCCCAGGCCACTTCCTGAACTCCCTGAGCAATCTGACTGTCCCCTGGAGCTGGCCCTGCTTGGAACAGAAGATAGCCGGGTGCTCCGTGACCTCCCTGTTTAAATCCCATCTCTCTGGAGGGGAGAGCAAAGCAGTGTTACTGAAGACATGCCCCCATGTCTTCTCTGCCTTCCTCACTACTGCAGAGCTGAGCAGCCAGCCAGAGCTGCTGCTTGGCTGCAGAGGCTTCCCCAAGCCTGAAATCCTGTGCTCTGTGCACCATTACATGCTGGGTACGTTTGCTATAATCCTGACTTCATGCAGCAGCAGTGGGATCCCCCCCAACAGGTACCCAAGGTCTGCAGCACATGCCCGGGGCTGTCCTTGCGCCCACCCCTGCTTGTCACTTCCCCCAGTGACATGGGGAAAAGAGCAAAGGAAGGTTTGTGCCTGGAGTGGCACAGCAGCCTCTGCATGCCATCGCCCTGACTCACTGAGAGGACGGGCTGCCCCCACCCAGCCCACAGGCCTGCCCAGCTCAGAGGCAATGCTGAGGGAAGGTCCCTTTGAAAGACTTCTTGTGGTTAGGGCCCCCTCCCCCCCCCCCCCCCCCCCGAGTTCGAGAAACCCTCCTGTCACTTTTGTTCCACTACAATCCCTTTGCCCCCAATGCTGCATCAGCTGCCTTTGCAGGGAAGAAGGGCTGTGCGGTTTCTTGCTCATCAGCGTTTCCAAGCTCAAAGCCTTATGCTTTCAGCTGTCTCAGCTGGGTGCCAAGCGCCTCATGCCCCAAACCCCAAGCTCTGTCGTGCCGTCTGCTCCAGTCTGGAGAGCCAGAATGACACCTCCATCTCTTCTGCATCCGTGTGGAGGGGCAGGAAATGTCAGCAAGTCACCCAAAAATAAGCAAGGTGTCACCTAGCTTGTCTGCAACATCCCCTGCACACTGGCTCCGACCTTCCCGTTCCCTCAGCCTGAGCACTCACCTCCACGTTGTACTTCTTGCGGGCCTTGGCCACTTTCACCGCAAGGTGCGTGACCAAGACGAAGCTGGCAGCACCCGTCAGGATGACGTAGCCATACTCCTTTGAAAGAACAGCCATCTCGGTGCTGTCACAGAAAGAGAGCCCATTACTATTTTGGGGTATGACTGGAGAAGTGGCAGCTCACTACACGCAGATATGTGTGTGCGGAAGAATTGCTGAGCATGGACCCAAGACCTCCCAGCACAGGGACTGGCTGAAGGAAGAGAGAAATGGTGAGTTGGGGAATTTTCGCCTCTTGGTGCCTGCTGAGTATTAAGCAGCACAAAACAAGGGCTCTCTGCTCAGTTCCTGTCAAGCAAGCCTTCAAATCACGTTAAGTGTTGGTGGGAGGTGGTGTCTGGAGGACCTTAGTCCAGCCTCTGGCTTGGAGCAGGACTGCAGCCAACGGTAGGTCCCACCAGCTCTGGCTGTGGCTGGCCAAGTCCCACGACCTCACTGACACAGCACTGTGCCCGCAGGGATGCTCCGGAGAGGTGGACAGAAAGTAATTGTTCGTGGCCACTTCCAACATCAGAGCTAGGGGTCACCAGATGAAGTCAGGAAACAGATTGGAAACAAACCAAAAGAAGTGTTTTTTCATGCAGTGGGAAACAGACCTGTGGAGCTCCCTGCTGAGGGATGTTACGAATGCAGGCACTTTTCATAAACTCAAGGGGAAAGTGAGCAAAGTAGGTAAATTGGGAATTATAATACAAACACAAACAGGCTCAGAAATCCCAGGCTGAATGGAGCTGGGCTACGCAAATGGTTAGTTTGAACCTCTAAGGTCATCCTTACATAAAACAATAATAAAACCCACCACAACAATAGCAATAACAACTGAACCTTTTAAGCAAAGGGGCACTGGCAAGATGAGCGATGCTCACTCCCACAGCTTCAAGGAACCCTCTCGGAGTCACAAGTCAGTGAACAGCCCCAGCAACACACAGCTGCTGGCATCTACCAACATCTGCACACGCAAGTCTGCCAGCCAGGAGACACCAGGGCCCGTGTGGTTTGCATTTAATGGTTCTGCGCTTCCTTGCCCAGGCCCGTCTTGGTTTCAGCTGGGACAGAGTTCATTTTCTTTCTTGTAGCTGGTATAGCGTTATGTTTTGGATTCAGTATGAGAAGAATGTTGATAACACACTGACGTTTTCAGTTGTTGCTACGTAGCGTTTATACTAAGACAAGGATTTTTCAGCTTCTGATGCCCAGCCAGCAAGAAGGCTGGAGGGGCACAAGAAGTTGGGAGGGGACACAGCCAGGGCAGCTGACCTGATCGGGGTATTCTGGGCAACGGTCAGCGAGTGGTGAGCAATTGCATTGTGCATCACTTGTTCTATATATTCCAATTCTTTTGTTATTATTGTCACTTTATTATTATTAATATAACCATTATTTTCTTCCTTTCTGTCCTATTAGACTGTTCTTATCTCAACCCGTAAGTTTTATTCTTTTCCCCCCAATTCTCTCCCCCATCCCACTGCGGGGGGGTGGGCAGTGAGTGAGCAGCTGCGTGGTGCTTAGTTGCTGACTGGGGTTAAACCACGACAAGGCCTGACGGAAGCAGGGAGCAGAAGGTGCATCCAGCAGCCTCCTGCCCCGCTGCCCCGCAGCAAAGCCGCGTTGCGTGCTTCTCCCTCTTCCCTGCTCCCCATCTGCCAGACCTGCCATCAGCCTGCGCCGCTGGGAGCTGCTCGACACCGAGCGCTCCGGCACCTTCCCCGCCTGCAAGCAAGCACAAGGGCCCTTCCCCACAACCATCTGGCACGGGTCCTCTTGCACAGTCCTAAACCTCAGATGTTGTCTGCCTGCGTAACCCATGACGGTGCTGCATCATGCAGCACAGCAGAAGACAGCAAAGATCTCTCTCCAGCACTGAGCCAATTCCCTCTCCAAACCAAAATCCCAGCCGATGCCTATCTCCCTCTGGTGCCTCCACCACATAGCAAGGTTTTGGTGGCTCCTGCACTGTCCCACCAGCACAACCTGTCAGTGTGGGGGAAAACGGGCCACCTCATGGAACCGGTGCAAACAGCCTTCCTATTGCAGCAGCGCCAGCACCCCTCACAAGGGATCTTCAGAGACTAGAGGCTTTTATTTCTCATTTGCAAAGGGATTATCAACGGAGCAAAGTGAAGACAACAGCTGGCTTAGTCCACATGAAGTTTGGTAAACAATTATCAGTAAGAACATTGAAAACTAAAGTAACGAAGAAAAGTCAGCTGCACCTACGTGTAATAGAGGTTAGCACCTGAGAGATGACACACTGAAAATATAACACGTTCCCACCCAGGAGAGCAGGTTGATGGTCACATTTCCCCCTTCAAATTACAAGGTCGGTGGAGACCCCCCGCCTGCCAGCAAGAGCGAAGCATTTTATCTTCACAGTGCTAAATTATAATCTGGGGCTTTATCTTAGCAGCAAAGAGCACAGCAAAGCATTAAGCCAGGTGTATTACAAAGCTGCTACTCCTACACTACTGGTACAAAACTAAACCTCGAGCCTTTGCTCTAGTAATCTGGAGCCACATTAAGCACTCCAAAGTCAACAGGACTTTCAGCCTCTCTCCAATTGCACGCCTTGCGGCTGTTTCCGGATTCTGGTGCCTTGTGCGTATCAGCAACCTTTGTCTGCAGCTGCAAGGACTTTTGCTAACGAACACTGGCCCGGTGCACAAGACTTAATTTGTACCTTCCATGCAGCAACGTTTCAGGCCGGAGCCACACGACCAAGAGATTCTGGAGTGTGACACAGCACAGAGCAGGAGCTGTAGCAGAAATGCTCCCCGAGGGTGCTTTTACTCCAGAATAAGGCTTCTCACCAAGTTTGCCGTAACGCTAGCGTTATTATGAGTCAGCAAAGCTGATTAAGTCTCCCCGCGCAGACCCACGCCGGGATTCTGACCGCACTCCCAAGATCCCACAATCTCGGACTTTCTCTCCAGCCCGGAGCGCCTTTTGTCCCCGCTGCTACCAGGCGAGCGAGCTGGCTCAGCTCCGGAGGCAGAGCTCCCCGCCAGCCCCGCGGGGTCAGACCCCGCCACGCAGCCCGAGCGTGCTGGGGTGCCGGCGGGGCCCCGCCGCCCTCCGCTCATCCCGGGGACCTTCCCCCGGAGCCTGCGCCCGGCGGGACAAAGGGGAAGTCAGGGAGGAAGGTCGCGGCCCTTCCTCTCCACTTTCTTTACCATCCATCAGGATAATCAGCATAAGCACGCCTTGGGAGCCTTCCCTCCGCCCGTACCCCCGCCCGGCCGCGTCCCCGGTCCCCGGAGGGGTGAGCTGGGGGGGTCCCCGGCCCTCACTCACCCTCAGGCGCGGCGCAGATCGGCCCGACAAGCTGCGGGAGGGAGCGGGCAGCGGCAGCGGGGCCGGC